CTAAATATTTAGCTCAAAACTAAATATTTAAGCCACAAGTTAAATATTTAGCTTGTTAACTAAATATTTAATTTATTTGCAAATTAAATATTTAGTTTATAAACAATGACATTTATAAATGTATGAATCATATGGTGAAAAACTGACTTTGAAAAATAAAAAATAAATCTGTTCGTTTTTTCTTATAAAAGGCTAAATAAAACAAAAATATTGGTGGTAATTTTTGACTGTGCAACTTTACAAACGGCACCCCATACGCTGCAGCAATAAAAAGTCTGCATTCTTCAATATAACTGAGTGATGATGCTGATTAGTTTGTGGCAGAATCCAAACAAACGTGCTGGTCCTCCCGTTTGAAGGAAATAAGAAAAGTTTCCCTGTGATTGCGAATGACGTTTATTTTTAACTCAAATAAAAAAGATGGAAACCTTGTATTATTTAATACTAAGACATAAAACTACTAATGTAAAGGAAATATTTCCTGTCTGAGTTTAAAGCAAAAGACATTGACGAAATCGAACTTTATATTTTTCTAACMTTTGACAATGTTTTCTTAATCTTTAAGTCTAATAAATTGGTTGAATTGAGAGCCAAGAGGTTTTCCCCACTTTTGAAATTCATACAGTAAATTGACTAAAAAAAGTTAGTTAGAAAAAAAAAACATAAACATAAAGATGACTCAAGCATGAAGAAAACCTGCATGTTTCATACACTTGATTGCTCTCGTGTTTTCAGGACTGACTCATGAGTTTATGTTTTTTTTGCAATGAAGACAATAAGAGTCAAAAAACAAAACAAACAACAATAGCTTTATTTTTCTTTTTAAGACATGCAATGTTATTGAAACTGTTTTATTGAGCAATGCATCATATTTGCATCAATCCGAGCATATAAAATATAAAACCTTATGTACAAATAGAATATTTATGGCACTTTTTCTCCTCGTCGCTGCTGAATGCGGCTGTGCTCGCTCCCTCGTTAGACATAATTGGATTTGGGGTGTGTGGYGGGGAGGAAGTGGTTGGAGATTTTGGACTCAGACGGTCGGCTCCTACAACACAGCCGACAGCTCAGGAAGGCACCGCCGAGCGCCGTGAGGAACCCACCGCCCAAGCTGACAAACACAGCGCCTCCAAACTCTTTGCTGCAGAGACACAATCATTCACGTTAGTGTGTCAACATGTGCGGCCTGTGACTGCATACTTCTGATGGATTTACCTTTGCAGACGATGCAAACTGTGGTACGTTTCAATAATCTTACTGACATACCAGGAGGTGATGATGATGGTCAATAAGCCTAAATGTACAAAACAAACAAAAACAAATTAATAAATAAAGAAAGAAATGTGCCAAACTTGTTTCAATACCTGTTGAAGGTGGTAAAAGTCATGTTTTAAGGTAGAACAAGTTTTGAAAATGTGATCCTGTTGGATTCTGCATGGCAAAAAKGCAACTTTATATGTTGGAAATGTTCAAAATGAAACATGCTTTGGGTTTAAAAAAGAGAAAATATGTACATGTTATGTCTTGGAGAAGTGATAAAAGAAAGGAATACTTTGCTCTATTTTAAAGTGTTCAAAAATACCAGCAGTACAAACGAATTCCTAAAAAAATACAAGGATGTGCTCATTTGCATCTGTGTAATGATAATCACTGCAAACACTGAGCTGAGTGAAAACATCAAGTTGCTTCTTGGAGTCATTTTAAAATATATTACAGCTCATTAATTTTTCTTCTATTTTTCAGCATTTATGCTCCTTTAAATTTGCAGGAACTCTTTTGACTTAAAATGTTTTCATGCCATTTAAACTGAACTCACTGCTGACTGAATAAAAKAATTATCTTTTGATCCTTGCATTTAACTAAATCCTTCCTTACTTACAGTCAGCCCCACATCATGATGAAACCTCCCCCATGTTTTACTGCGGGCAAGACTATTTTTTTCCCCCATCACCAGCTTAATTTCTTTTCCTGTAAACAAAATGACGCATTTCTATCCCCAGGAGCCATCGTACTTCCTCTGCATCACAATGAATGCATCTCATGGACACTTATAGAGCAGCATGGGCAATAAACAGGAAAACAGCAACAAAACATRAAAAACTAGATGTTCYTTTGATTTAGATGAAATTGTAATTTAAATGAGGCATTGTATCAGAAAACAATAATAAAAAGGCTCACCTGACAACAYAAACAGCACTCCTCCAGACACAGCTACTCTGGATTTGATCCCCGGGAGGTTGTCCATGAAGTGGGTGCACTTCATGCCCACTGTGGAGACGATCAGCGCCACAGCAGAGAAGAAGAGGCTCACCACYAGCAGGGCTCTCGTTGCCTGGACCTCAGCTATATGAACAGAACAAATCGAGTCTCACATCATCTACTGCAAACAGCCCCGATGCAAGGCGCAGAAACAGAGGCGCGCGCTCTTACTTGGCAGTTTTATCACGCTCGTGTGCCATTCGCAGGTTGTTCTATCCGTCCCGCTGCAGGACATCCACAACCCCTCATAGATGCGGTGTTTTCCCTGAGCTTCCTTCCTCCACTCGACCTTAAGAGTGGCGGCGATGGTGGCAGAAAGTCCGACTAAAGCCAGGAGAAAACCGACGATTTGCACCACGGAGCTGGCCATCCTGTTCAGATATAAATTTATTTATATATAAAAACACAACAAAATCACAAGTCCGACGGCTGGATGATGGAGTTTTTAGTTAATGGTCTTGTTAAAGTCGGTATAATTGCTGATTAACCCCGAACTCCCCTCTTTAAGACCCTCTAATTGCTGCGCTCTGCCGCCTGGCTCTATTTAAAGTCCGGGGGCACATGACGCACGACGACCCCCACTCCTCCACCTGCAGGGGGTGATAGGAAAACATGTTTTCAGGAAGGCTGAAGTGAAAATGGCAGACTATTGTGACTGTAATGTGGTGGGG